CGCAGCGAGCGGAGGGAAGGCGCCTGGGAGCCGGAGCGGGCGCCTGGAGCTGTGGGCCCGGTAGGAAGGGTGGGGTCGCTGCCGAGCTGGGCGTGTGCAACCCCGCGGGGAGCCCCCGCGGCGGTCCGCCCTGGGGAAGGAGTCTCGGAGCAGACGCTAAGCTTTGGCGTGCTGCTGACTTGAAGGAAGCTGCAAAGACGGTGATCTTGCGGCTGCGTTGAGGCCTAGGAGGCGGGCCTGGGCTTGAGGTGGCTGGTTGCCCCGAAGTCTAAATTCCTGCAAACCTGGCTTGAAACCCAAGGCTCAGAGAGGGTCCCCGGCATGGCTTGAGCTCAGGGTTGCTCCACAGAAATGCTCCTGGGTCGTCGTTGGGCAGCTGTGCTGGGATAGGGGCGGGGAAGGAGGTGTTGTCTATTCCACGCTCTTTCTCCTTTAATAAGCTTTGAAATCAGACCTCTAAGCCTTGGGCCTCAGCGTTCCCCCTTTATTTTACCGTCATGGTCCTTCTAGCATAAAGGTATTTCATTGCAGATACTACTATATATAAAATAGTTGAACAACAGGGTAGTACTGTTTAGCACAGGGAACGATATTCAATATCTTATAATAACATAATGGTAAAGATATAAAAAGGACATATATATGTGTAACTGAATCACTATGCTGCACACTGGAAACTAAGAACATGTTAAATCAACTAAACTTCAATTTTTAAAAAAAAGACATTTCAAATACATGAGCGTGGATATGATCATGGTATTTACAGCCACAATGTTGTGATAGTTGTGAAGACGCCTCAGGTGCAGTCACACCTGGGATGGGGGGACGTTTAGAGACGAGCACTTTCTCCTTGTGTGGACACATGGGTCTTGTTATCCTTAAATCACCTCTGCAGTGGAGGAAACCGACAAGCACTTAATGCCTATCCTAAAGGATCCTCACACTCATTGTCATACAGAATGAAGTCAGTAAGAAAAGAGCCCTAAGACTTACGACTCCTCCTTGGCCAGTTATATTTTATTTTAGGCAGTAGGGGTGTACAGCAGCTATCTGGAAGGCCTGATGTAATTTCAGAAATAACCAACCACTCCTTCAAAATGAAATCTCAGTGCACATGGCAAAGAAAAAGAGATCAGACAACATGCCCACTGTTGATAGCAAGATAGCAACTCAATTTTAAAAAGAAGCATTTGAATACAAAATTCACAGAGTGATGCTTTAAGAAACTACATGTTCATATGTGGAGGCCAGATGTTGCTTTATAGTAGAAAAGTGACTAAAATATATATAGCATAGATTTTTGGAATAAAATAGTAAAATACATTTTATTTCCATTCCTTGATCTTAGAATCACAATAGGAATGCCTAAGCCTATATTTTTTGAAAGTTAGAAAAAGCTAATTACCAGGGGTCTTCTCTGAGCTCGGTATTTTCTAATTTAATCAATTTAATAATCTCCACAGCCCTGTGAGGTGTTCTGATGTTACAGAGGAGAAAGTTAAGGCACAGAAGAGTGAGGCCATTCTGCTGGCAAGTTGGGGGCGGTGGGGGGGAATCTGTCTATCTAACTCCAAAACCTGTGCCCTTATCCACTCGTAGTTTCTTTTCACAAATGTACCCCATATCCAACAAGGAATAAAGACACACTGATAGAGCAGAAAGACAGATTGCTGGTTTAAAGAACTCAAAGGACCCATGAGGAGAGCCTAATTCTAGTTCTGGTTTCAGCTCTTTGACTTTGTACACATTACTTATTTTTTTCTAAACACACAAAGGTAATTGATCTCTAGCTTCTACTGGATCCAAAAATCTGTAGGTTTGTGAAAATAAGATTCTCCTTTTACCATCTAGAGATATTTTTGGTTGCATTTGGTGTTGAAATTATAGGGTGGTCAGGGAGGGTCAGGTTATTCATTCAAGAAATGTGTACTGTGTACCTGGACAGGCACTGGGGCTGCAACAGAGAACAGGACAGATAAAGACTCTTAGCTTCTTGGAGTGTGTATTGTGGTTGGAGGCAGAGGGGCTGGAGGAAACAAAGAAGGAACCAACTGACAAATTAACAGACAGCTACAAATTGTAAACAGAGGGCTGTGACAAAGAAAAATGGAGTAGGAGGCACTACATTTTTAAAAATGCATCCTAAAATTTAGCAGATTAAAACAACAGACATTTATCATCTCAGTTTCCGTGGGTCTGAAATTTGGGTATGAGAGGTTTGGGTGGTTTGGGCTCAGGGTCGTTCACGTGTCAAGCTGTGAACCGAGGCGGCAGTGGTCTCAAGTCTTGACTGGATCTTGACTTGTAGGATCTTGACTCGTAGAATCTGCGTCTTAGCTCTTTCATGTGGCTGTTGACAGACCTCAGCTGGCTGTTGGCCAGAGACTGCAGTTCCTTACCATATGGACCTCTCCACAGGGTTACTCATGATGTGGCTTCCCCAGAGCAAATGTTCCAGAGGAGAAAGGAAACTCACGATGGAAGCTACTGCCCTTTTTTAGAACCTGATCTCAGAAGTGGCACACCATCCCTTCTGCTGTATGCCACTGATCACACCAACCCAACTACACAAGGGGACTGGAGGACTGGAGTTGTGGGAGGCCACTGTCGAGGCTGCTGGCCACAAGGTCTATGGGATGTCCAGGGGGAATGTTATATAGGCTGCTAGATATATTACAGTGTTGCTCCCAGGAGCAATCTGGGCTGCAGATAAGCATTTGGAACTCAGTCATGATATATATGAAGTTGAGAATGTGCAAGAGTACCTGGGGAGGGACTAGAGATGGAGAAGGGACCCTGACTCAGTCCTGAAGAACCCAACCTTTAGAGGGAGGTGGAGGAGGATCCAGCAAGGAGGATGGCCAGTGAGGGGAGGAGAATCAGGACAGTGTGTGTTCTGGGGGTGGCTTAACGGAAAAAGAGGTTTCGCTGGACAAGTTGCCCCTTCCCTATGAAGGGTAAAAAATACCTTGACTATGGCTGAAGGGAAAAGAATTTCTGGGAAAAAATGCAACTTAATACAATTTGCAGTGTGTATAGTTAAATTTTGACCCAGATAGGAGCAAAGAGCAGGAGATCATATTTAGAGTCTTGGAAAGTCTATGCCCGTGTACTTAGTGCCCTCTAGGTCTGGGGCTTGGCCAGGAGAGCCCTGGGATTACAGGAGGTAGAGAGCTCCTATGTAAGGTTTGTAGGGTTTGCTGTCAGATTTAAGCTTGAAGACAAAGTAATGAGCTATATGGAATGGGAGGAGCTATTGACCTCAGAAAGTACATTTTTGCTTCCATATGCTTTAAAGTGTTACTATATGAAGAATCTTTCTTCTCAAATGTCTTAAATACCCCCAGTGAACCACACAGGAACATTGCTAAGAATTCCTTAAGCTGTGTTCTGCCTTATGAACTTCATTGCTCATAAGAGAGTCTGAGATGGTTCTTGAATATGTTTTTCATACACTTGTGGCCTCATTCTTCTGTTCTCAGTGGTTCATGTTTTTCTTTAAATAAGTTTCATTTAAAAAAAAAAAAGCCTCCTCATTTACAGACATCTCTCTCGCACTTAAAAATAAATTAAAGGAAAAAGAAGAAAAATAAAAGGCCTGCTCCACCTGGTCACCTGGCCTAACCTGGCTCTGTGGTTCTGATGACCTGCTTCATGAAAGCATTATCTCCTTGGGTACAAATGTCTCTGCCTGCTGGGCGTGGGAGTCCTAAGTGTCCTTCATTTCTCTGCCCTCTTCCAATGAGGCTATGAAATATAGGTGGAGTGACCTGTGTCACTTCCAGGTGGATTCTCTAAAAGCCAGTGAGAGATTTGTCCCACTCTCTTTCCCTCCACTACAATGACCACCAATTTTCTAGGTAGTGGCTGTTCTGTGAGCTTGGGTCATGGAATGAAAACAACCAGCAGAGTCCCCGTCACTCTGCACTGGACACATAGTGTGAGCCAGAAATCAGCTTTTGTTATATTTAGACCCTGTGATTTGGGGATTTGTTTGTTAAAGCAACATAACCTAGCCTGTCCTGACCAATACACTCAGGTAAGGTCTGAGCCGCATGCCTCCAGGGATTACTGGCTTCTGGTCTACCAGACACCTTGGGAACCTAAGCACAAAGGTGCTGTAAAAAGCTTGCTCTTGTGACCAACATTCCTCTTACTGTTGATGAGATATAGCAGGTGGACTTGTTTCCATGACACTCAAGTCAGCGTTATGATTTTAATCAAAAGTGGCAAAAATGGCACTTAGATGTCTAACTACATTCTGAAAGGGCAGGCAGCCGGTGTTGAAGTATAAAATACACAAAGGCTCAGTGCCCACAAGGGATAAAATTAAGGCTCTCATTTTAAAATATGTTTTGGTTTTTTTTTTCCAGCAGGAGGAGGTAATTAGGTTAATTTATTTTTTAACGGAGGTACTGGGGATTGAGCCCAGGACCTCATGCTTGCTAAACATGCACTCTACCACTGAGCTACACCCTCCCTCCTAAGGCTCTCGTTTTCATTTTGAAAAACATAATCCCTCCCTCTTCTCTGTATATATATTTATTTATATACATATTTAAAATTTTCAGTATCCTTCCAGGTATTCCAATATAGAGGAATGTTCATGGGTTCATTGTTAAGGATAGTTCTTTCCCAATGTAGTTAGATCTATCAGTGGATGCATTTCAGATATTATTTTGTCACCAAGGGACACTTGAAATGAATCATTCATACTTACCATTGACTAATTTCTAAATGTTTTAAAGCAGCTTCAAAGAGCACTTTAAATATGACTTCCTGGCTACATTATTTCAGATCTAAGAGGATCAGACCTAGATGTTGCCCTCCACGTCCTGGAAGCCACATGTTCCTTCTTTTCCTCTGACTTAAACAGAAGTGAAGCAGGGAGCATTTTGCTTAGGGCAGGGCCAGGCTGCCTTCTTAGGGATGTTGACTATAAATCCACTCTCCCTAGAGGTTCACAATCAAAGTTCTCCCCCTCTCTTACTCAGACGAGTGATATGATGATGATAAATTGCTTGGACATGACTGCCCCAAGCACTGGTGTGATGAATTAT